TTTTTCTTAAGTTCTGTATGTATGTGAAAGGTATACGGCCTCTTCTTTACCAGAAGGGTGCTTTCCAAAAAGTAGATCATATGGAAGTTTCATCTCCCTTTCAGTAATCATTATGGATGGAGTATAACTGGTCGTTTCATGTTTAGAACTTATGTAGGCTAGCAGAAATAGAGGAATTCAAGTGTCCCAGAAACGAACATTGAAAAATACTGGCATATCGTTTTATTGTGTCTTTCTAATATTCCGCCAGACTGTGAGTTAAGAGGCGTAGTGCGCGTTTTCCTGATACATTTTCATCAATTCTTTGGTTAGAATGCAATTCCAGGGGGACTCCGTGTCTCGCAATGACGTTCGCCATAAATGCTTCCGCTACTTTCGTTGCTTCCAGATTAGGAATAGGCGCTATTTCGGGCCACTTTAAAAAATAGTTCATAACAACCATCAAGTATTTGTTTCCCCTTTCTGTTAAGGGAAGTGGACCGATGATATTTATGGCGATCTTCGAAATGATACTGTGCTTTGATTTCTTGTTTTGGGCTCTTTTCTGCCATTATAAAGGTCACATTCCTTAGACCAATCTTCTTAGTACCAAAGTGTCATCCTGAACGATTTCTATTAAATTCCTTTCTGACCTTCTGATTTGGGCAGTATGACTTGGCGGACTACATGTACTTCATAGGGGCTCTCCCACTTTCGGTGCAATAGGCCAGGAAATCCCACTGAGTCCAGTACCCTTTATTGATTCTACTATATTTGGCTATCTCTTGCCTTGTAGGTCTGACTCAATTCTTGAACAACATTCAAATCATTCTTTCTTTTGGGTCTTTATTGGGCTTTCAAGAGTGATTCGTCGTCGTCCTCTGGTTTGATAGACTAACTTCTTCAACCAGCTTCTCTTGTTCTTCAGGCCTGTTGAAAATACATTCAATATAACAAATAAATTTTTAAATTATTTAAATTTAAACGATAACGAATAAATCCTAAAATAATTAAAATGTGACGTAAGCAACTGAACGTAACTACATTTTAATTTTATTTCGACGCCTGGGGTAGTATTCTCGAGTCACGAATATAGATTCGCATGCGAGATTTATGATTTGTCTCACTTGGTTTTCGTTCAACAAAGTGAGACACATTGTAAAACACGTATGCGAATGTCGGTATTCGTGACTCGAGACTACCCCTGAAGGCAAAACTTTCAAGGTGAATCACTTGTTCGCTTACCGAACTCAATAAACATAATTTACGAAACGCACTCGCCCAATAGGGGAGGTCTTGGCAGTTGATTCTATGCATTTCCGTTTCTAGAGAATCAAGAAAAAAAGATTTAGATCTTTCTGAACCTTCGTACAGTTCGGACAACTTTACAATTGTTTGAGCTGCGAAATATAACAAGAAAATAAATCAATTCTACCTTGCATGTTGTTGTAGTTTTCACATATAAAATACAACAGCGAGTTTTTTAATAAATTTGTCCGAGATAGCGGGAGATAATAATAATAATAGTAATAATTTATTCATTAAAATAGTACCTATAAAACACATTTGATACAGAAAAAAAGAGAAATGAATAAATTGGCTCACGTTAAGTGACAACACTTGTTACGCAATATAGAGTAAATATACTGTAATACATAACATACATAATATACATATAATAATACTAATAATACTAATACTAATAATAATACTAAAATAATAAGGAAAGAAAGAGAAATGGATCATACCATCGAATTGTCTGATATAAATATTACTTGATAAATTATAATACGAAAACATCAATCCTTCATAGATCTGAAATATATTTTCTTGGGGTATTGAAAGTAAATATTTTTAAATATTTCTTGAACAAATGGAAAGTAACCTTGCACTTCCTCTGGTAAGTGATTATACACCTTAGGCCCTAGATACGAAAAATACCTTTGAATTAAAAATCTTTCCACCAAGGGTACAATATGGTTTAATCTATTCCGGGTTAGGTAAGTATGGGATGGTATTGTAGCTGTGAGTCTAGTATGGTAATATTTTAGATTGGTGGAAACAAAGTACATTTGTCTTATATCTAATATTTTGATTTCGTCGTAAAGTATATCTGATAAGTATTTAAAATTTTTATTCAATATTAATTTCAAAAATCTGTGTTGTATTATTTCTAGGTTATTAATGTGACTATGCAGAACACTACCCCATGCTACAATACCATAACGCATATGACTTTCTACAAGAGAAAAGTATAAAGTTCGAAGTTGTTCTAGGGGCAAATGTTTTTGTTTTAAATTTAAATTTATAATAGAGAATAATTTGTAACTTTTTAACTGTATAATTTATGTGACAATCCCATTTTAAATGTCTACCAATATACATGCCAATATACTTATATTCTGTTTCAGATAAAATATAATACACTTTTCCATTGCTAGTGATCTTTAAACTTTGAGATTCTGGTAATCCACCTGCATTGCAACTGATGAGTAAGTATTTTGTTTTTCCTAGATTTAACGTCAGTAATTTTGAGTCTAAGAATTGCTTAATAGAAGCGAAATCATTTTCAGCAACTTTTTTTAGAGTATTCCAGTCTTGTCCCTCATAAAATATTAGTCCGTTTATATATGAATTAAAAAGTATAGGCCCAAAAACAGTACCCTGAGGAACACCATACTCTAGTATTTCAGAGTTACCCGTTTTATTAGCAACTCTAACAATCTCCCTTCTATTTGTAAACATTTTTTGGCTGTTTCCTCTTATTCCCATATCTTTAAGAGACTGTAAGAGTAGCTCATGACTTACAGTATCAGAAGCTTTTGTAAGATCCATAAATACACACATACATTGTCTACCTTTATCTAGAGCTTTGTTCATTTTTTCTACTAACGCTAGGATGGCATCTTCTGTTGAAGAATTTTCTTTAAAACCATACTGTTTTGGAGATAATATTTTGTACTTAGACATATATGAAGTGAGTCTAATTTTTATTATCCTTTCAAAGATCTTAAATATATGAGTTGTCAAAGATGCTGGTCGGGTAGTTATTAAGTAAATTTTTACGCTTTTTTTGTAGATCGGTGTTACAATTGTTTCTTTTAAAGTATCAGGAAATACACCTTTTTTCAAGCCCATATTTATAATGTGTTTGAGTGGGCCACAATTTCTTTTGAAATTTGTTTTAGGATTTCTGCTTGTATTTCGTCGATTCCTACTGCTTTTTTATTTTTTAACTCAGCGATAACTTTAATGATTTCGTTTTCTTCAGTAGGAGACAACATCATAGAATTGACTGGTGGTTGCTTTTGATCTTGGTAGTAAGTTTTTGTAATTTTTTTGGCCAGATTCTTTCCCATTTTGATAAATTGTTGATTAAATTCAATACATATATGTTTTGGATTTGTTAGGTGTTTTCCTTTAATATCAATTATTTTACTAATTTTTTAATTTTTCTTGTTCTAACCTGTTAATTTGTTTAGAATTTCCCACATGTTTTTAGAATCACCAGAATTAGTTTTAATTTGTTTTTTATAGAATTCAAACTTTGTTTTTGAAATGAGATTTATTGCACTATTACGGTATCTTTTATACTGATTTTTTAGAATTTCATTGCTGGGATTATTTAAAGTTTCTTTAAACATTCTGTTTTTAGTATTAATAGACTGTAAAATACCGTTTTATAATTTGGTTTTAAAAATCATTTTAATAAAGTTTTTGTATATATATTCCTCATTTTGTGGCAAACAGACTTAGTCTAATGCCATTCTCTCTCTCACAGACACAAAATACCGTTTGTTAGCCAAGGGGATAATTTAGTATTTTTAATAATAATTTTAATAAAAGTCTTTGTTGCAGATTCTGGATCAGCTTGAGAATAGACAGCATCCCACAAGACAGAGTTTACATAAAAGAGTTTTTTATAATTTGTATAATTTGTATATGATAAAAACATTAAGTTGTTTCGAGATCCAATTCTTGGAACTTTAAATGCAAGTTGTTCCAATAACTCCAAACAATCAATTTGGCAGTTAATAAGTTTATACAGGAATATTAACGATTGAATTTTTCGTCTACATTCTAAGCTATGCATTTGAAATCTATTTAGAAGCAATGTGTCATTTATCCCAATTAATAGATATGTTTCGTCTATCTTTAATACCAAGAATTTTAGATATCGTCTTTGAACGTTTTCAAGAGCGCTTGAATAACATCATAAAATGGTTTCCATATCAATGAAGCATATTCGAATTGAACGCATTGTACAATATATTCATGGTTTCGATAGAATTGAGGTCAACTGCCTAATGATAAATCCCAAATTTCTGAATGATGCTTTTATCACGTCATTTGGATGTTCATTAAAGGTAAGTTTTCTATCGAACTTTACACCAAGATATATAATAAAATCAGGCCTCTTTAATATAACACTATCCAAACAGTAGTTAGAGAGAATTGAAAAATCGTTTTTGGTATATGACGCTATGTTAGATTTTTTTTTGAATTAAATGAAAGATTATTTATTAAATACCAATTATTTATTTTATTAATATTACGTTTATATAAACTTTTACTCCTATTTTAGCATGCAGATTTCGTTGTTAAAATATGACCGTCTAAATTCGGGATACCCTGTATTTAGAACCGCATCAATAACTCATTTCCGTTTCCCTATGAAACCACCCTATATTAACCAATATTTAGATAATAATAATAAAAAAATCTGACTCAATAGACTGAATCACTAAATCGTTTGAATACGATAAACGATAAACATTATGAATTCTTGATAATTGTTATTTATGATATGTATGTTCTTGACTAATGCCATGCAAAGGAAATCCAAGTAATAATAATTATTTTACATATCAGCATCAATTGCTTCTAATATTGGAAAAGTTATCAACAGGTCAATTTGTAGGCCAAGAGGGGATAATCCGTTCTACTTATAAAAGCTATACTTCAATAATAATTATAAGGTTTAAAATTGTTGTGTTGATAAGTAATAATAATTATTCATCATGAAGGGATTTATTGTTTTTGTGGCTGTAGCAATCAGTAAGTTCTATTTTTTTAAATTTTTTTTTTCTTTGATTTTATGTAGGATTGTTTTTTTTAATCTAACAAAAAATAATAATCCATAGGAAAAATTACATTTACATTCAGTGTAGGTTGAAAAAATTATTTTATAATAACAAATTTTAACCAGTTCATTTTACTTAAAAAAAAGTTTATAATAAAAAAATTAGTTAAAAAAAATTCATATATAAGTGAATTAAAATATAGCAAGAGAGGGGATTCTCATGTAGGTATTAAATTTTGAAACTTTTAAAAAAATTTAATTTTAAAAATATTTAAAAATTCGTTATCATAATATCTAATTCCTAAAATAAACTTTTATATTTTTTTGTAAAGTTTTTCTTTTTTTTTTAATCAGTAGTTAAAAGGCAACTCTACAGGGTAGGCTGTCTGTAAAAGGTCTTTACAAAAACATACCACATATTCCTTAGACAAAAAAAGGGGATTTAAGTAAAATTACCTTAGTACAAAGTTGCTTCGTTTGGGCTCCAGAGGGCCTTGAGTTACAATTTTTAAATCGTTTTTCCCATATAAATTTAAAACGGCATATGCGATTTTGCTGAAATTTGGTATATTAGTAGAGTTTTATGTGGAAAAAAAAATGCTATTAAAATGTTATCCGATAATAATACATAGGCGTAGAACTTGATTTTTTAAATAATTACACCTTTAAAAATTCTACGCCAATGGAAGAAAAGAAGTTTAAGTATGAAATTAAGATTGCGCAACTCATTTACTTTAGAAAAGGTACTCTTGATCAGACTCGATTACTCTCATGGTTTTCGCTAAATTTCTGTTTTAATAATTTAGAGTGTATAGGTTTCACAAAAATATTTATTTACAACACAATCAAAATAGAGATTTTACAAAAATTTTTCAAAATGTTCACCATTTTCACGCATACAAAGATTTATACGTCGAAGAAAATTAAAATGTATCCTTTCCATAACTTCTTATCACCTCTAAGATTGTTTATTGCATCTTGAATACGTTGCCAGAGTTGTTCCTCATTTTCTACAGGTTCCCTGTAAACTGTGGATTTCAGATGTCCCCATAAAAAGTAATCCATCGGTGTTAGGTGTGGGGAACGTGGTGGCCAGTTTACAGGTGCGTCATTACCTCTGCCTATCCATTTGTGTGGATATTGTTCATTCAAGTGGTTTCTAACGTTTAAAGGAAAATGTGGTGGAGCTCCATCTTGCATAAACCACATATCTCTCCGAAGTTGGAGAGGTAAATCTTCTAACAATTCTGGCAACGTATTTTGTAGAAAATCCAAATAATTTTTTTCAGTTAATCTTCGTGGAAGTATGACAGGACCAACATTGAAATTACCAATTTTTCCAGCTCACACATTAATTTTGAATTCGTGCTGAAAATGGTTTACCTTTATTGCATGCGGATTTTCAACGGCATAAACATGTTCATTATGGGTATTAGTTATACCTCTTCTTGTAAAACCCGTTTCATCGGTAAAGAGAACCTTCTTGACAAAGTTTGGATTTCTTTCTCTTTGCATATTAACAAATCAACAAAAACCCAAACGAATTTGAGGATCATGGACTAATAATTCTTGTACTGGCTTCTTATGGTATGGATATAGCAATTGTTCTCCAAGCACTTTATGAACGACATCTTTACTCCTAGATCCCTTCCAATTCATCTGGTGCCTAATTCTGGATCTTCTTCAACACGTTCTAAAATGTCTTCTTCAACTTCAGGAATCCTTACAAAACGTTCTCTACCATTATAAACAGTGTTGGGAGCAAAGGAACCGGTCTCCCGAAGACGTCTCTCAACAGCAGCAAAAGTTGGGTGGCTAGGTACACGACGATTTGGAAACCTTTCGAGTACACCCTGACACTCTCTCGAGCATTTCCTTCACAAAATCCTAATGTCAGTAACATATCGGTATATTCTGCATTGGTATATTGTACAGCCATATTAATAAACCACGCATTTGTTTTTTTAATTATTGAGTTAGATAGAACACTTTGAATCGTTTGAGTTAGATAGAACACTTTCAATCGTTAACAAGAGATTAGGTGTTAAAACTTTGCAATATTTTTATTTAGATAAAACTCTGGAAACCAACAATAAATGTTTTTGTATACGTATTGCAGGCAAATAATTAATATTCCTCAAAAAAATCGTACATGGCAAGAATCGAGTATTTTTCTTAAAAGTCTCGATTAGAGGTGTTGAAGAAGATATGAAAAAAGTACATTTTTATGTTTTTCATCGTATAAAATTTTGTCCGATAATAATACATAGGCGTAGAACTTGATTTTATAAATAATTGCACCTTTAAAAATTCTACGCCAATGGCAGAAAAGGGGTTTGGGTATGAAATTTACTACAAAAAAGTACCCTTGATAACACTCGATTTACTCCCATGGTTTTGACAAAGTTTGTATTTTAATAATTATTGTTTATGTTCTAAAATTACTAAAATGCAAATTTCGTCAAAACCATGAGAGTATCAAGAGTACCTTTTTTAAAGTAAATGAGTTGCGCAATCTAAATTTCATACTCAAACTCCTTTTCTTCCATTGGCGTAGAATTTTTAAAGGTGTAATTATTTAAAAAATAAAGTTCTACTCCTATGTATTATTATCGGACAACATTTTAATACCATTTTTTTTGCCACATAAAACTACAAATATACCAAATTTTAGCAAAATCGCATATGCCGTTTTAAATTTATATGGGAAAACCGATTTAAAAATTGTAACTTCAAGGCCCTCTGGAGCCCAAACGAAGCAAATTTGTACAAAGGTAATTTTACTTAAATCGACTTATTTTGGTCTAAGGAATATGTGGTATGTTTTTGTAAAGACCTTTTACAGATACCCTGTATATTATTTTTGTTATTAATTAAATGCTTTCATTGGTGTATGCCATTTTTAAATATAGAATGGATTTTATGAACTTTCAAGTCAATTTTTAACAATTATGTAACAAATAAAGGCTATCATTTTTTTTTTGTAAATCTACAATAATTAAAAAAATCTTTAATATTGAAAATACGTATTTTGTCTTGTTAGTAACTGAACTAAAATCATTGTTAACACTGTATAAAAATGACAATATATTGGGTTTAAGAAATTAAAAGTTCCAATTCAATTTTTTAAATTACTATTTAGAATGAGGCATCTTTAATAATATAAAGGTAAAAGGCAAAAAAAAACAATAAAACGATTTAAACCAATTTATTTTTTCTTTCATTGCTTTTGTAAAAACTAAAACGGTAACCCACGCATCAATAATTTGAAAAGCTTGAGAATAAAAGTGCACGAATTTAAGAAGAAAGCTGGGAGAAAACAAAAGGATGTCGATATGATTTCAGTAATTCGAATGACAAGCCACTTTTCCAGAATCGCCTTGATTCTTTTTATTTACGAAACATCAAACGCCACGTTCGCGAAAAAAACACGAATTTCAAAAGCTTTGATCAAGAATTTTCTTTCCAGTTTTCATAAAGATTTTTATTTTATTTTTTTTTTTTCAGGTTTGGTATATGCAGATGAGGGTTCAGAAAAGAGAGCAGGTGAGCTTAAACAATTGAAAACATTCAAAAAGCGGAGAATTAGATAAAAAAATTAATAACTTAATTTTTAGTTATCAGGAGGGTAACCAGAGAAGCCATAAGCGGCATGGGCGGTGTTTTTCTGAAGCAAACAGAAAAGAATGTAATTTATAATTGCAAAGCTAACGGACTTTCCTATGATGGTGCTGAGAGTCTACAGGTATTTCATAGTTATAAAAATTGATGATTTAAAGGAAAATATTGGTTTTTCAGAATACTTACTGTTATCTCAAAAGCAATAATTATTCATTTTTATTATTTTTTTACATTCAGTATGCTATATTTTTAGCATTATGATACATTATACAGAAACTTAGTTAGACATGTTATTCTTGTCGAATTTTGTAACAAGTAAAGAACGGTGATAGATCTAACACAGTCAAACTAGAATATGAGTGTTCTCTTTACATGAAACGGACCTCTCATATGGCAAGTATGGCATTTGACTACTAGATAGTGTTTCAAGCTCATTTTAAACAGTTTATGATATGTACGAGGCCTGTCTAAAAAGTATCCGATCTTTGGCCAGAAAAAATATTTCGAATAGCTGATGAGTTGGGACCCTAATACCCTTTAAAGTAGACCTCTAGTGCTTGCGCACACTTAGCCCAGCGATCCTTCCACTACTGGAAACACCTCTGGAAGTCTTCTTTTGGAATGATGTTCAGCTCCGTCGTCGCGTTCCGTATTATCTTTTCTCTACTCTCAAAACGGGATCCTTTCAGTGGCGTCTTCAATTTTGGAAACAACCAGAAGTCGCAAGGAGCCAAGTCTGGAGAGTAGTGAGGTTGGCGAATGGTCGTAATTCCATGTTTGGCTAAGAAAGTGTTGATTAATTGGGCTGAATGTGCAGGGGCGTTGTCATGACGCAAGTGCTAGTTGTTCGCCGTCCACATGTCTGGTCTTTTGCGCCGAACTGCGTCACAGAGTCACCGGAGAACATCTTGATAGTACTCCTTTGTCACTGTTTGTCCTTCCGGTGCGTATTCGTGATGCACAATCCACGGACATCAAATAAAACAGTCAGCATCACTTTGATTTTGCTTTGCACCTGACGCGCTTTTTTCGGCCTTGGAGAATCGGGATATGCTTCCATTGCGGCGACAGTCTTTTTGTTTCTAAATCGTACCCGTACACCCATGACTTATCTCCAGTTATCATAGTGTTCAAAAACCCAGGATCAGTGTTGGCGGTGTCCAGAAGGTCTTGTGCAGTATCAAAACGAAAATCTCTTTGTTCCGGCGACAACAACTTGGGTACGAATTTCGCAGTTACCCGGTACATGTTTAAATTTTCACGCAAAATTGCATGTGCAGAATCTTTATTCACTCTAACCTCTTCTGCAATCTCCTGCACTGTCAAAAGATGATCTGCCATTATCAAATTTCGCACCCTCTTAACATTAGCTGCACTCCGAGCAGTTTGAGGCCTGCCACAACTCTGCTCATTCTCCGCTGATGTGAGAGAAAGAGAGAGAGGGAATATATGATTATTGTCCAAGTTAAAATACTTATTGACAAACACAATATTGTACAAATTACAAATAAATAAATAAATAGTCATACAAACACAATATTGTACAAATAGTATACAAATTACAAATAAATAAATACATAGTCATTAAAATATAAACGAACATTATTATAAATTAACATTAATTCATACATCTAAAATAAAATAAAACAAAACAAAATAAAACACATATTACAGTGTCTCGTCATTATAAAATTCTATAATATTATAATAAGGCCTAGTTAACAGAAATCTCTTGAGCAGCTTTCTAAAACAATTCTGTGACTTAACATCTGTCAACGTATGTGATAGCCTATTGTACATTTTGATACCATTGTATATAAAAGAGTCTCTTATTAGTTCGGTTTGCATGAAACTAATCTGTGTGCTCCACATAAGAACCTTATTTCCCGTTTCTGCATTATAAAGACTCTGTCAAATAACTCGGCAGAACAGACTCCCCAAAACTGAACAGCATAACGTAGATGGGAGTCAACTAACGCATAATATGCAGTTTTTGCTGCACAAACTCCCAATTCATGAGAGGTGGTTCTAATGGCATAACAACCCGATGCGAGTTTTTTTAAAAGTGAATCCACATGAGATTTGAATTTCAAATCCATGTCGATATTTAAATCCAAAAATTTTGTACAGTTTGTGGCTTCTACAGTATCCATATCTATTAAAATATCAGGAACATTACATTTAAAGGTTAGTATTTTTGTTTTTATAAAATTTAATGACAGAAAATTTGCAGTGCACCATGTTTTAAAGGATTTTAGGTCATTACTAATATTTTTATAAAGAATATTGACGTCTTTATTGTGCCACAAGATAGTAGTATCGTCAGCAAATAGAGTGAAGCTTCCTGAGATATTTAACTTACCTAAATCATTGATATAAATTAAAAACAGGGTGGGCCCAAGAACAGAACCTTGAGGGACACCCCATTTTATGTCACTTGTGTTCGAGTCTGAAACAGTACGGCCATCTGTGAATCGGCTAAACCACTTCTTAATTTGTGTTACACCCATCGCATCTTCTTCAAACACCTGCTGAATCTTACGAATTGTTTGGCTTTTGACAGAATTTGATGCAGTATATTTGCTCAATTCGTTCAGTCATCCTGCGAGAAAACTAAATCTGACGAACACTAAGAACAGCACCTTACTTTGCGACCACCAGCTAGCGACTTGCACAATAGGGTTTCCGATCTCGATACGATCTTATCGAGAATCGATCTTTTGTTTCACGATTTCGATTTTTTAGGATCGATTTTTCAAAATAGAGATCGATCTATATATCGATGGAAAGTACTGAGATCGGAGATCGATTCTAGCCCACCTCTTACATGTACTTTTCGAATATTTTGTGGTTACCATAAGTCAAAAGAATAAATTCACTGATCGTTATCGCCGTTTTGAGTAATGTGAGAGTGTTTTGTGGATATTTGAGTATTCTCGTAAAGCGTAAATGTTACCTGAATGAACCTCTTTCGAATCTGAAGACAACAGATCCTATTAAATATTGGCATAGATAGTCAAATTCTTTTCAACAATTTAAACAAAGTTGCTCAAAAGTCTTTATGTGTGTTAGGAACATCAATTCCATCCGAGAGACTATTTTTTCGAACAGGAAATCTGATGACTCCTGATAGAAAAAGTGGAAAAATGTCAAATAAACTCGTATTTTTGAATAGTTTTAAATCTTAGAATTTGAATATTAACAATTTTAAGTTCCAAACAATGTTTATATTTAAAATAAAGATTAAATTTTTTGTCTATTTTTTATTAATTAAATTTAATTTTATATTTTACATAAAAAGAATCGATCTTCGATCTTTACGAGATCGATATTTTTTCCTCCCGATTTTTCTTGAATCGATCTTTGGCTCCACCATTTGGATCGATACTAAGAATCGATCTTTCTTGCCGAGATCGGAAACCCTATTGCACAAGCGAACACTGTGAAAAAATTTAAGCATGCGCATTAAGGTTCCTCCTTCAACCGTGCATAGTGGCGCCGCCTTAGAATCACTAGTTTGCGCGGGAAAAATTAAGGTCCGATACTTTTTAGACAGGCCTCGTACTATCTTCTAAGTATACCATTTTTAAAAATGTCTTCAATTACATACAGTACCTCCATAAAATAAAGTCTAAATTCATTATTAGCTAAATTAACAATACTGTTAAAAATTCCCGAAATAGATCGTTTTTTGATTTTAATTTGTTCTTTCCTATTGTACAATTTTCCTTGCTAAACTGAATTCAAAAATATATCACACATTGCTTCAAATTGTTACAGAAAGTTCAATTATACAAAAATTGTATAACATTTGTATTTTTTTTATTTTAGAACACATTCGATAAAATGACACAATGTATGTCAAGCCCAAGAATATTTTCAGTACCAAAAGCAGAATATATTGACAATATTGTATCCTGCAGCAAACAGGCTATTACTGAAACTAAAGATTGCTTACCAGAAGAACAGAAGTACTTCCCAGAATTCGTTTTAGACTTAGCCAAATCTCTAGTCAGTTTCATGTACGATGACAAACCTGTTTTAGCATGTGAGTATATTCAATCAATGAACATTTTAGTAAGTAGAGTAGATCATCCTTTTTTAAAAATGGACCAATTTCCATAAAGAATTTGGAGTAATTTGTAAAAGTTAGTAATTCTTTAAACTACTTGTTCTTGTTTTATAATTTTATTGGTTACCCACACCGACTCGTATGCTTATGATTACAATCATACTACGTGCACACTGAAAAGACCTAGAAACAATGACTAATGTCCTTTGGTAGTACATATACTAACTATTCAAGGATAAATTGAAGACAGGAGCGCTATACACCATAATAAATTAGAATACCGTGATCAACTTTTCCTTCAAGAGAAGGTTACACACAAACGAATTGTCCAATCGAGCTTAATTGAGGTAAAAGAAGTGTTCTAGATGAAAATTATCATCATCACAGAGAGGAAACTATCTAAATAGCTCCTAAGCTGAAGTTACATTAATTTGACATGTCATCTAAAAAATGCAAAATGCAGTCCTGCTCATTACTCTACAATTTCATAATGATACATTCGTTCGTTTCAAAGAAAAAACCTTTTCGCTATCCTGTATAGGGTAGCCCATAAAAGAATGTTACTTAAATTAAAACATTTTGGTACCCGATGAAATCTAAACATGTGGATCAAAAATTATCTTACCAGTAGATATTTTGGTTTAAAAGTTGGAGAGTCATCTTCCTTTAATCTACAGGTTAACAGTGAAGTACCTAGTGAGGTACCATAGGGATCGGTGCTAGGCCCCCTATTGTTTTTAGTATATGACAGTGATTTGGTCTTACATATTCACAACAGCAAGTCTTTTAATGCATACGATACCAAAATGTATCCCAATCCACTGCTTGAACATAACTCATTGAAAACAAATGAGTTAAATTTTAACAGGTCTTTAAACGATTCAACTTTCTTAACTGCCCATCCATTAATAAGACAGTTGAAATCTGGTCTCTCTTCTTGTAGCCAAAAAAATATATTTACAATTTAATTCATTTTTAGCTCCAGAAATTCCTCGTTGCATGAAGAACTTCATAAGGAGTGAGGTTCAACAAGACTACATTGGATGTATGACTACTGTTGCTGCTCAAACTCACGATACTCAAGAAATTCCCAAGTCGAAGGCTGAATTTTGCAGGTAAGCATGTTTAAATGTAGTAGCTAAATGAAAATCATCTATAAACTTAAGAAAATAGAAACATTTTTATACTAAATGGTATGCTAAGTTTTCCACAATAACGCCAGAATGAGCGATGCTAATAAAGAAAGGTAAAACAGTACGCGCTAGTTCACTAGTAGTAGAAGTATATCTATCTATCCAATCACCGCAGTCACACGATTGATGAGAGTATCTCTTTATTTTCTCATGTGCAAAAATAATAATTAAAGATATCATCTTTATTTCGAATGATCCATGGGTTGACCTATTGTAGATGTGCATATATTCTATTTTTTATCGCAATGTGCGGATCCCGGAGCAAAATTTTTCTGATTGGATAGTATTTGAAAGTATTCTTCCTCCTCAAATTATATGCTATCTTCTTTATTGATTGGGTTGCTTCGAAAAAAGTATTTACTCCTGGAATGTACATAGTTGTGTTGGTAAACCATTATCTTTGATATTTTGGATTTTATTTTTTGTTTTATATTTTAATAAAGCGTTTTAGTGGAAGATTCTTTTCTGTAATCAATTGATTTCGTAGCAACTTTGTACCCATATGTGTTGCTAAAATTGTTTTACTTATTTTTGGATGTATTTATTGCAATATTTTTTTTTTTTTGATTAATCAAATTTTAAACAGTTCACTTCTTTTTTTTTATATTTATATTATAATTTTAATTTTGCTAGACGCCCAATATTTGCCAGTGCTTTTATAATTGTATGTGTCAACTACCATATATATTCATTGTGTCTTTTTATTATTTTTAGTAAATTCTTGCCAGCTGGAAACTGTTTCCCAAAAACCTTAAATAAGTACTGCTCCAATGACTCAAAGGTACAAAAATTCACCAGCGACTATACAAGAGCTTTGGAACAACCATGTGAAACAAAAGAACAATAAATGTGATAAGAAGAAGTTTGTAAAACAGATGATATAATTATTTTTTAAATAAATTTTTATCGTTTTAGTTTGTTTTGTTTTTGTATTGTCTTTATTTATACCAATTATAAGGTTTTCCATGTATTCTCATACTTTCTATGTCTAAGTAACAAGGTGTTTTAGTTTTTATATCCTAGTGTGGCAGTTAACGTGTTAAGATAGAAGCATAAGTTCAACTACCTAATAAGGAATTCCAATGTCTTGTCCAAATGGTTGCCTGATAAAGTTTTGACACACAAAATTTTATTTACTTATCTGTTCAAGTTGTTTTTGTACATAATTAGTTTAAATAATGGTGTAAATGTTTTAGTTCAGCATGTTAATACAAATTATATAAATTTCCAAATTAACTCGTTTTTCACAAGATCAAATTCAAACACGTATCAACAACACAGCATCAGGCAACAATTGTAACTGTCAAAAAATTAAGTTGGCTGAAATGCCTAATAATTGTATATTTAAAAATAAATTTTAAGAATATGGTCCTACAATATACATTCTGGAAACAGAGTTTTTATCACTTTCAAATGATCTTCAAAAAGCCATTGAAAATACAAAACTAGAATAAATATTATCTTACCATAAATACAACAAACTAAAACTGCATACAATTAAGTAATATCATGTCACAATCGATATAAGAGCAGTTTTTTTTATAGTAAGCTACCTTCAAATTACACAACGTTCTTATTATGTACTCTTCCTGCAGTCTTACAATAAAATTCAATAAGTTTTAACGTAATTTTTATTTTCAACCATTATAATAAATGAGGGGCGCCGAGAACCAAGCTGGGCCCCAGGATAATTCCCTAGATCGGGCCCCGTGACAAAAAAACAGCTCTTCAAACAATTCCTCTACTTGGATTCAATTTTCTAGAAAAAAAAAACAAAACAAAAGGTCCTCAAGCAAAACCTTTTCATCCTGTACTTCAATTGCTTTTTCTAAAAAAAAGGTCCCCAATCTAAAACTTCCCCCTCTCGTCTTGTGTCGAATTTCTCATACAAAACAAAAAAACCAGTTTCTGGGCCCCCCTTATACCGCTCCCGGGCCCCCATTTGAGTCCGGGCCCCGGAAATTGGTCCCGGCTACCCCCCTCTAGTCGGCCATGTAAATAAATACATAATGTGACGATAGTCTAATTTATTTATAGTTTATTTATTTAAAACACACTATTTACAATTTATTTCAGACGTACTACTTAATTTATAAAATACTTAGATACTAACTAACAATTCTAATGTATTTCTTACACTTTAACTTTTCATTACAATGCTCTAAACTAAACTATCTATAATCAACTGACTACCGTCTTCAAACTCAGGATATTTATATCAAGCCAACTCTGTAACCAGGAATACTCTAGACGGTCCCGAAAATGTATTCTTTGACTCAACGGCACTCTCCGCCCGTTCTAGCCGTTGCTAGTGCGTCAGCGGCATTCCTCAACATTCCGTCACCTCGAGCATGAGTCGAGTGCCAGCTAAAAATTCGCGCTTGCTTTAGACACAGGGCCGGTTTTAGAATTTCATAACATATAACGGTTATTTTTTAAATCGCCACAATGTTCTCAAGACTTTTTTACACTCTTCAAAAATGTCTTAATAATGTATTTTAGGATTATTATTAAAAAAAAATTATATATCATTGACAGGTACCAATACTTTCACTCTGTTACTTTGTCAACACATAAGCAACAATTTTATAAAGAATGTTTTTTTTTCATTTAGGCCTTCGGTTTTTGTTAAATGAGTGGTATATTTAAAAAAGACGACTTTTTAACTAAATTGTTGAAGGGCTAAAACCAAGATATTTACGTTTATATTTTTTTTCAGTCGTAAGGGCTAATGCAAATGATTTTTTTTTTAAATAAGTATGAACAATTACTCCCTACAAAGATTTTATTGTGCATTTGACCAAAAAATGAGTATTTTTTTCTTCATTCGGTGGTATCAATATCTGGATTTTTGATGATAGTGCCCTTCTGCACAGTCTAATTTTATATTACCTCCGGAATAAGGGTTACCTTATCATGACCTTTCATCTGTGAAAAATTCAGCTTGTGACAAAAGAGTAGGAGGTAAATCGTTTTCTTGAGCGAATATTTTAATACATACACTTTACTAATAATGACAGCGGATATTACAGAACAGAAGTAAAAGTTGGAAATGCTTTTGCCAGTTCTCCCACTTTATACACATAAATTGATAGGTTGGCAGCGGATTTCACCGAAGTGGACGCGATACATTGGTGTACAAAATTATTTTATAGATGTTAATAACAATTTCGAGCAAATAGTTTAATAAATTGTGAATAGCTGTTGAAATTTTGTAAAATTATGATTTGAATATTAAAATACATGTTTAATAATTATTTATAATCCATAAATACATGCAATTGTCCGGTTCCGCCGATAACAATTTAAAATTACTTATTCTATGAAACGACACTGGTAGGTAAACATTACTGCGAAATTCTCGGAGCCGCCCGACGTGGTTTGACGTTTACCCCCTCTCTACCTACCAAAAGACTTTTCAACTTTTATTTTCTCTATACCCTACTGTGTCCTTTAGAATATGTCTTATTCACGGCCGCACGATATTTGTTAGCAGTTACATCTCCTGGTTATCTCTGCGTTTGAGTCACAATTTTCAGGTAACCACGTCCCTAATTTAACCAATTTTTCAGGAATGTCAAACAGAGAGGTTTTGGACTGAGTAACCGAATTTTCGGTTGATAACGGACCATATCCTTAGGTCTTCATCAAGCAAAAGGAATATGAAACAAAGAAAAATAGCGCCATCTTAATATCATTTAGACTAGTACGAAAACCCGGAACCATTTAAAATTGACAGCAACAAAATATTCTCGCAAAAAACTAACTCCACTTTTTGCGTTATTAAAATAAAGCAAAAAATGATTTGCATGAAACAGTTTGGTTTTTCGATTATATTACCAGTAAAAAAATAATGAGAGACAGTTTATAGAAAAATATTAGTTTAATACTCAGGAAGCTTTTATTGGCTGATTCTACATATTTTGAATATTATGTCATTGAAAAAAATATTATCATTATTAACATATTTATCAAAAAAATTAATAACTATTTATCTTTCTATCACAGTACTTATACATTTTCTTAATATGCAAAAATAATGTTTCAGAAAAATAAAAGAGTCATCATCTTTATTACTTTTATCAGTTTAATTGTTTATTAATTAATATATGAATAAACTACTAAATATTTAATCGATATAAAATTATTTCTTGGATACAAATTCGTTCTATTATTATTATTCTGAATTTGTTTTTCAATCATGAAGTGTCTCGTTCTTTTATTCATCTGTATAATAGGTGGTGAGTTTATAAAACTTTTATATATTATGGTTAAAATAAATTTTACATTCTAACAAGAAAAAACTATGGATACTTTTGATATAATTAAAAAATATGGATAGGGTACGCATAAAATTAACATACAGTAAAACTTCTTAATAACGGACACTAACGGGGAAATATAATTGTCGTTAAATCAGTTGAAATAAAAAAGAGGTTTCTGTTTGGTTTAGAACATTATTTTTGATAATTTCTGACTCAAATATCTTCAGGTAAATAGCACTTAACAGGTTGAGCACCAAGCTTTTTAGGCAAAACCTTTTACCCGGACCAACATACTTTTTTAAATATTTTGAGTTTATTGCAAGAAAACTTATATTTTTCTTCTAAGTTAAGTTAACAAAAATTTTTCACTATTTCCTTTGATAATTTAGGTTTATTTTAATGTGATTTAGCTTATGACACTATTAAAAATGATTAAAATATATATTTAAGTTTGATTTGCAAATCTAAAAATGCATAAAAAACATATATCCAATTTATGACATCCATCTAACTTATTAAAACCGCTACCAATAGCCTGGCACTAGCATACAAGTCTGACAGGCCCCAGCTTCCACCCTAAATGATAAAATCTGATATAAATGTAACCGCTCGGCCTGGCGGAACAAATAAAATACCGATAATGCAGCGGACACCGGTGTCCGCCGTGGCCTACGCGGAAAGTTAGAGATCATACACCGGTGTCCGCTACGGCGCTGAACCTGTTAAGGAAGTCCTTTCGTCGCCCCTTTCGCCACCAATGTTAAATAAAAAACATTAGATTATGACTAAAATTTATTTTTTTTCTAATAGTTGAAGGCCTTATTTATCTAATAGTGAACTTTTAACTATACCTTACCGTGCAAATTTTTGAGAATTTTTTTTAAAAATGTGAGTTTTTGTACAGTGTCTTACGAGATAGTAAGACCTCAACAACAATTCTCGAATTATACTATTATTTATTGATTAGATGGAGTAGAAATAAACTAAAAATAAGGTTTTTGAAATATTTAGGTTTTGTTTTTTTACAATAAAATATATAGGTTACCGTGGAATTTATTGAGAAATTAATATTAAAAAAAAAATTCAAGTAACCTAGTTGAAAATTTTTTGTTAGTTTTTAATATTAATTTCTTAATAAATTCCACGGTAACCTATATATTTTATTGTAAAAAACAAAACCTAAATATTTCAAAAACCTTATTTTTAGTTTTTTTTTTACTCTGTCTAATCAATAAATAATAGTATACTTAATTATAATTCGAAAATTGTTGTTGAAGTCTTACTTTCTCGTAAGACACTGTACAAATACTCACAAAAAAAAAAAATTCTCAAAAATTTGCACGGTAAGGTATAGTTAAAAGTTCACTATTAGATAAATAAGGACTTCAACTATTAGAAAAAAATTAATTTTAGTCATAATCTAATATTTTTTATTTAACATTGGTGGCGAAAGGACCTCCTTAATAAACTTTGCGGTTTTCTTTGCCACTCTGAAACGTCGCACACTGGTTCCTTTTTGCCAAAACGTGGAAAAAATTATTTTTTGACCGAATACTGCAGGAAAAGCATCAAAAATTATTTTTTGTTACTTTAAATAAAATTTCAATACCCTGTAGCCATAGAAAAGATTTGTGTATTTTAATTATACGTATTTTGTTTTGTTCAACTGGACAATTATTTTGTTATGACTCCATTATGTTAGGATATCATTTATTTTATATTAAAACTTAAAAACTTATAAAAGTTATAAAGAATAAGTTTGACGAACAATCCCTCAGAAGGTAACGGTATAGGCGTAGATTCGAATTTTGCGACTTTTTAGAAGAATAGGTTACTTGAAAGATACCAGAAAGGCAAAAGGAGTAAGACAACTTGAAATATTCAAATTAATTTTTTTACATTTAATCAACATTTTCGAGAAAAAAGAACTTGTAACTGATATATCCGGAATGTAACATTACCCTGTATTTTGTAAATAGGTTGAATGAGAGACATATGTTATGAGATTGTCATTGTCATAAGTGTTCTAATAAAAATAATAATTATATTGATTCTGGATCATTTCATGGCGCAGTCAGTTCTGTAGGTATCCACGCTGCCAATTCTAATTCCGAAAATGCCAAAGGCAAATGAGAAAAAGAAGTCGCAAGACGAAAATGGATCTCCAGTTAGAACTACAGAAGAGTTGAACAGACAGGCAATAGCAAGTCTGGAATCTAATTTTAATAATAAATTTGCTAGAATCGAAGACATGTTTAGTAAAATGTTACAAACAACTCAAACAAATAATGGCCTAACTTCAGCAAGTGAAGTATCTGGTAGTGATCTACAAAAGAACGAGGATGTCCACTTTGTACGTATGCCAAGTGCGATTCCGGCTCCGGAAATATTATATGACAACATGTCTTATTCTCAATTTAAAGATTGGAGGAAAAAATTTGAAAATTATTTGTTGATTCATGGAATACAAGGTGCACCATATCGACAGATTACAGCAGTATTATTTTCTTTTTTTGATCAAGAGATAACCGATGTTGTTCGCTTGATACTACAAATAGAAGATGTATCGACTAAAAGTCCTTTAACGATTTTAGATAAATTAGAAGATTACTATAAAAATAAAGAAAATAACCGAATAAGACGTGGTGAATTTATTATTAGAAAACAAAACGCAGGAGAATCATTTAATTCATTTTATAGGGACAAATTAAAGTTGTTTCAGTTAAGCGACCCATGTAAGCATTGTTACGATCGCTGCTTAACAGATCATGTCATAGAATCTGTTCATGATGCAGATGTAAGAAAAAAATGTCGTAAATTACCAGACACTGCAGGGATAAATGAAGTCATCAAGTTATGTCAGGCAGAAGAGAGTGCTCAATTAGAAGAAAGTAGAAGCAATAAGGTAGTGGACACTGTAAATAAAGATAAAACTACATATAATATTAGAAAATGTCAAAGATGTAATCAACCCTGGCATAAAAATCTCAGATATTGTCCTGCTAAAAATAATGTTTGCAGTAAGTGTCGTAAAAGAGGCCATTTTAAAGAATGTTGTAAAACTAAACTTGTTCAGGAAATAAATGATGATGAAGATGTCCAAGATAACTTCTTAGGAAATTGCTCTTCCAAAGTGACTACTATTAAGATAAACCAAGTTTACTCAAAAAGACGACAAATTTGTGTTTCAATAGTAATGAACAACAAAAATACTTATAGTTTCAAATATTTAGCTACACCAGATACAGGAGCAGAAGTGTGTGTTGCTGGAGAAGATTTCTTAAACAAGTGTCAAATTAACTGCAAAGATTTATTAAAATCCAAATATAAACTTGAATCAGCTAATGGTTTACCTTTAGAGTTATTAGGTTACATAAAATGTAAGGTGTATTACGAGCACAACGAAGCTGAAGTCAATATATATATATCTGCAGGAATGTTAAAGAATTATTACTAGACCGCCAGTCACTTATTAGTCTCCGAATAATTCATGGTAGTTTTCCACAGCCATTGAAAGATACACAAGAAAATACCGTAGCTTCTATTAAAAGTTTTTCTAAAATACCAGTAAATCCATCACCAAAGGAATGTGAAGACATTAAGCAAAAGATACTACAGGAGTATAAAGACGTCTTTAATGACGACGAAGAATTGAAACCAATGGCTGGAAAGTTGGTGCACATACATTTAAAAGATAAAGTAGTACCATTTGCAATATCATGTCCACGAAAAATCCCTTTTGCTTGGAGGCAATCTGTAAAATCAGAACTAGATAATATGGTTAAGAAAGGGATTATAAAATCTGTTGATGATACGCCCTCAGATTTTGTAAGTCCCCTGGTAGTCGTTCAAAAAAGTAATGGAAAACCTCGAATATGTATAGATTTTACAATGCTAAATAAATTCATTAAAAGGCCAGTTCATCCATTTAAGGCTCCATGGGAAGCAGTTTCAAATATAAATAGAAGCAGCAAATATTTTTCCACATTAGACGCCAAAAGTGGATACTGGCAATTAGGACTTGACAAAGAAAGTCAAATATTGACCACTTTCTTGACTCCATGGGGACGCTATCAGTTTCAACGGGCCCCTATGGGATTGGTGAGTTCTGGAGATGAGTTTTGCCGTCGAGGAGATGAAGCGCTATTAGACATAGGGAATATTGAAAAAGTTGTTGATGATATTCTTTTATATGATAAAACATTTGAGAATCATATCGAAAGAGTTATTCGCTTATTAGACCGTTGCCGTAGCAACAATATAACACTAAATCCTGATAAATTTATATTTGCAAAACCAGCAGTATCTTATGTAGGATATACAATTGGTGAAAATGGTATTAAAGCAGATCCAGTAAAAATTGAAGCAATCAAAGATTTTCCGGAACCGAAGAGTATAACGGAATTAAGATCATTTATGGGTCTAGTTAATCAACTAGGTCACTTTTCACCCGAAATAAGTTCATGTGCAGTTCCTTTAAGGGATTTATTGAAAGTTAAAAATGAATTCCGATGGTCAACCGTCCATGATATGGCTTTTAACAATATAAGAAAAATTCTTTCCGAACCACCTATATTAGCACATTATGACCCATCATTACCAACAGAAATACAAACAGATGCTTCAAGACTACATGGTTTGGGCTACGTTTTGTTACAACAACATGATGAAGTTTGGAAGTTGGTACACTGTGGGTCAAGATTTCTTAGTGATGCTGAATCAAGATATGCCATGGTAGAATTAGAATTATTAGCTGTTAGTTGGGCAGTAAATAAATGCAAACTATATTTACTAGGCCTAGAGAATTTTGTTATAAAAACAGACCATAAGCCTCTGATTCCAATTTTAAATAATCAGACCCTTGATAGTATTCAAAATCCAAGAATTCAAAGACTAAAAGAAAAATTAGCGGGGTTTATTTTTCAAGCAGAATGGGTACCAAATTCAAGACATTTAATGCCAGATGCCTTATCACG